TAAGCAAAAAGAAAAAAGCCGGAAGTGGCGCTGTGGCTCAAGTGGTAGAGTGCTAGCCTTGAGCTGAAGAGCTGAGGGACAGTACCCAGGCCCAGAGTTCAGGCCCCACAACCGGACCTTAAAAAAAAAAAAAAGATACTGTACAGAGGGATTACAGTTATATGAATAAGGTAATGAGTATATTTCCTATGGAGCATTGTTTCCCTCCCTTTTGTTTTTCCCCACCATCCTTTCCCTCCCTAACTCCACCCCTCCAAGTTCTAAAGTTCATTTTCAACATAATGTCTTGTACATCTATATGTGTGTGTGTGTGTGTGTGTGTGTGTGTGTATAAAATCACATTTTCTTGATCCATTCATCTACTGAGGGGCATCAGGATTGGTTTGATATCTTAGCTATGGTGAATAATGCTGTGATAAACATAGAATGCTGGTAGCTTTAGTATGGCCTTGTTTATGATCGTTAGAGTAAATGCCCAAAAGTGGGTATAGGGGAACTCTATGTGTTGTCTTTTGAGGAACCTCCATACTGCTTTCCAAAGTGGTTGAACAAGTTTACACTCCCCCCCAACAATTCAGCAGGGTTCCCTTTTGGGGCAAACCCCAGCATCTGATGTCATTAGATTTCTTGATTATAGTCATTCTAACTGGGGTGAAGTAGAATCTCAATGTTGTTTTGATTTGCATTTCTTTTATGGCTAGAGAAGTTGAACATATCTTCATGTGTCTACTGGCCATTTTTATTTCCTCTTCAGAGAAGTCTCTCCTTAAGTCTATAGCCCACTTAGGAATGGGACAGTTTTTTTCTTTGAGGATTTGTTTCTGGGCAGTTTAACTTTTTGAGTTCTAAGTATATTTTAGAGATGAGGCCCTTGTTCGTTGTATGACTAATGAAGATCTTCTCCCAATCCGTGGGCTATTGATCTTGCTAGTTATGTCCTTTGCCATGCAGAAACTCTGCAGTTTAATGCAATCCTATTTGTCCAACCTTCATTTTTAAGTCGGGTGCCGGTGGCTCACACTTGTAATCCTAGCTTCTCAGGAAGCTAAGATCTGAGGATCACAGTTCAAAGCCAGCCTTGTCAGGAAAAGCCATGAAACTCTTATCTCCAATAAGCTACCAGAAAACCAAAAGTGGAGCTGTGGGACAGCACTCAGGCCCAGAGTTCAAGCCCCATAACCAACAAAAAATAATAATAATAATTTTTAAAGAGTTTAAAAACATCCAAATTCAGATAATATGTATAAGCCTATATACCAATACTAAGAATGGTATTAGAAGCCTTCATATTACTTCTTCTATATAATGTATATCCATAAAAATTTATTTATGGAAACTACAAACATAATTCCAAGACAGAACCAATACAGAGTATTTTACAGTATTTTAATATTTCCTTTTCACTCAAATCCACTTGGTCACACTTTCTACAAACAAATACGCTGGATTAAAACAACAATCTTCTTAACTCCAGCTTGAATGCCTGAGTATTTTGAGCACATAATGAAGCGGAGGCAATGAATTTTGCTTAAAACCTGATTTCCACTCAGAGCTTAACTTCACAAATGATCATCAAATGGTCTACCTACGTAGGTAAAATTATAAAGCTATTATAAAGAAAGTCTAGGGAATTTGTAAAGTTAATATAAAACAATAAGCATATGGATACACATGTAATTGGTCCCCACTAGTAATATGTGGAAATAAATTTTATTAAAGAAGGAAGGCCTCAGACAAAGAAGAGTCATATGATCAAAATTAATGATTTGATTTTGGTTCTATAACCTCTTACACCATTTACTCCCACTGTCCTAAGTTGTTTATATTCACTCTGCTTTCTCTCC